TCAATAATCTTGCAAAGCCAAAATCGGTAATTTTAACATTTTCGCATGAATCGAGCAATATATTTTCACATTTAATATCACGATGTACAACTTCCATTGATTTTAAATACTAATGGAAAAAAAATTTTTTTTCTTTCCCTTTTAATAATTTTTAAATGTTGAAAATTTAAACGAAACATTTTCACTTCAGTTTTAACACCTAATTTTATGATATTAATTAATTAAATCAAGTTTAATTAAAATTACAACAAGGACTTGCATACCTTCATGGCTTCAATGAGTTGCCGAAAATGTATTTTTCCTTCCTTCTCATCAACTTTACTTTCACGTCTTATTTTTTGCAATAAATCACCTCTACTTGTAAAATCTTGTATAATACAAACAAATGGATTTTTCTCAATTACCTGAAAATAAGACACAAAGAAAATAGAAATTTTTGAATTAAATTCAAAAAGCTATTGAAGAAAGAAGCGGAAATTTGTTCCATCTTAAAGATTTAAGATAAATTCAGTATGATAGTATAAATAGAATAAAGCATTTTATAATTTGTGTAGAAAATAAAAATGACAAATAAATTTTTTTCATTGTTTTTTAGAAATCTAAGAAATTACTTCATAAACACTAATAATATTGTCATGTTTTAACTTTCGAACAAGTTCAATCTCACGTGGTAAGCATTTCTTCGTGTATTTTAAATCTTTCCTACAAAAGAATTTTAATTTATCATTGATTTTTTATGAGGAAAAATTTAAAAAAAAGTAACGTAAGAATATTTGTTGAATCTTTGAAAAGATCCAAATGATGTTATTTATTTGGAATAGTTTCATAAATGATTAGAAAGTTGTAAAATGAAAATGGAATTATGAATTTAAGGCAAATTGAGAGAGTTATTAGCATATCAATGAAAATATTTGGTTAATGATAAATTAAAATCATAAATAGCTGATTACTGATAGATAAATTAGTGATATAAATTAATGATAAATTGTTGGGTAACACATTTTGGCTATAACCTTGTATCAATTATTTTTATAGCAACCATTTTGGCTAGCATATTGCACCAACCTTTCTTTACAATCGAAAATGTTCCTTTGCCTTAAAAGAAATGACTGAAAGAATTGAAATGAAATGAAATTAATTTAATTTAATTTAAAAAAGGATTAAAAAATGTACGAATTTATTCAGAATAAGCTAGAAATAAGTAACTGAAATAAAATTGTAGGGAAAATTTCAGCAAATTTTATGATAGTAATAAATAAGTAATACATTTGTTGTTGTTATTTTCTTAATTTAACAAATTGACTATATTATAGATTGAAAGTGATAAGATAAATGATAAAATTTGATTAGTGATTAATTTGTTATAAGTGAAATTAAGATTATTTCTTCATATCATTGTCTTATCTTTATTTATTTTTTTCTAAAATGATTTTGTCCAAATTTAGAAATGTAAAAGAAAAAGATGTGAAAGTTCAAAGGTTAAAATGACAAAGAATGAAAAGTATTACCAAGATTTTCATAAAAAATAACTCCACGTATTTTCATTTCGTTTAACATTTCGGGCGTTAAACTTTCAACAATCTTATCGTCCATATTACCTCTACTTTTATTATAATCTATATCTTTTGTATGCTTGTTTCGCTCCAATAATTTATCCTTTTCATTCATTTTCATTTTCTCATCTTTCTCATCCTTTTTTATTCTTTCAGTTATATCATTTTTCTTTTCTTTGCCATCAACACCATGTATTCCATCATTTCCTTTATTCTTTTCCGCTTGCTCATTTTCTTCATCTTTTTTTGTTTTATTATTCTTTCTATCTTTTATTCCTACCCTACTTTCATAATCCTTCTTCATTCTTTCACTTTTCTCCTCTTTCTTTAATTTTCCATCATTTTCATTCCGTTTCAAACTTCGTTCTCCCTTATCTTGTCTGATTTTCTCTCTTGTTTCATTCTCTTCAACAATATTTTTTCTATCACATCTCTTTATCTTCCTCTCCTTGTGATCTTTTTCTATCGCTTCTTTGTTGTCTCCTTTTACTGAGGTCTCTCTTTCGCTCTCTTCGTCTTTCGCCATTATTGTGAATGAGTGAGTATTTGTAATAAATTTTATTATAACAGGATTCCGGAACACGATCCGATTCAAAAATCGGATTCTCTCGATACTTTACAATTTGGAAAATAGCAAACTGATAGATACAATATTCGACCATAAATTGTTTCAAAATAGAAAATATATTATTTAGCTTTAAATCAGCAAGGATTTAATTCCTAATTTCAAATTTCAATTTTCATTAATTTTCTTTTGTACTATTGTACTACTCATCTATTCACTGAGATTCTAATTTTTATTAAATTTTATTTGATGCATTTTTTAAAGATTTCAATTTAATGAATTTTATAAAATTATTATCTGTCTTTTTTTTTTATTTCTTTAATTCTTGATTTTTCATACAATGCTATAATGGAATGACTAAATTAAAGTACCGTAGAAATTATTCAGCAATAAATGAAAAGTGTAGAGCAAAGCGACTGAAATAATTTAAGAAAAAATAAAATGAAATGATAATTACATTTATATACGAAAAATTTTACATCAAAAAATGTAAAATAAATTTTGCATATTTAACAAATGCTTTAATTTTTAAATACAACTCAATTACAAAAAAAAGAAAAGAAAAAAAAGTGTAAATGAATTATTTTAACAAATGAAAAAATTCATTTTAATACTGTATGAATTATTAATAATTAAATTTCAAATCTTTTAAAACAGTTCAAATGAATTATTAAATGAATTAATGGTCTTAACAAATTTAGCCAATGTAATGAGGCAAATCATTTCTTTCCTTATAAATGTTTCAAAATATTGGCTTCAAATTAGCGAACATTTAATTTCTATTTTAAAATTTTAGATTTCATTAATTTTATTTACATTACACATTAGCAAATTAAAAAGTAAATATGACATTAAAATTATTAAAACATGTTAACTGTCAAGAATAAATTAAAGGAAAATAATTTTCTCTCTCTCCCTCTCTCTCTCTCTCTTGGAGGCTTCATTAACGATTAAAATTTTGACTAGCGAATTTTGTTTATTTATTTATTTTTTTCCTAAATTCTTGTAATCAAAGAAAAAAGTGTTAGAAGTATTGTAAAACTGCAAATTAGATGGTAATTAATTAAAAGAACCGCTTACCACTAATGCAATGACAAATTAATTAACCAAGAATAAATCTAATTAATATTAAAAAATAAAATTCATATTACAAAATTATTTAAAGGAGTTTTTTCATAGAAAAAGAATTTATTTATGTCGTAAAATTATTTAAAAACCTTTCAATACTTTTCGAATTTTTTGAATTTGAAAAGAAAACTGATTCAATGTAAGAAGCATTAGTTTCCTTCTTCACTTGCTTAGCGCTTTCTTCCGTAACTTTGAATTTAAAAAATAATCAAGGAAGTTAAATTTTAGGCAAAAACAGCCAAGAAGTAAACAAATAAGAAAGTTTATTGATGCTAATTTTATGCTTAAATTTTTGATACTAATATCAATCAATTAATATTTGTCTCAGAGAATAAATTATAGCAAAAGATCATTTAAATTTTTTAATCGATGAATTGTGTCATCAATTATCAGATAATTGATAAGGATAAGGAAGTGATAAGTGAATTATGCTAAAAAATATGATAAAAGCATTCATCGTTATAACAATGATTATTTAATTATAATTAAGTTTGGTATTTAATATAAAATATCAAATTGCCGTTTTTAATTTGTGTTAACTAAAAATTAGCTAAAATTACGATTTTTTATCGAAAAAATATAAATGAATAATGAATGATAAAAAGAAGTGAAATGAAAAAACGGAATATCTAAATATAATCAAAAATTTATGGACAAATTTTAATTTTTAATTTGATATTGAATATAATTGTTAAATAATCTATCACATTGTAAATATTTCGAATTAAAAAATTTGCATTTTAGACACAATTTAAATTAGTATTTCATTTTGAATAAAACTGTCATTTAGATAATTTGTGATCGAATTGAGCAGTTAGTTGCATTATTTTTATCAATTTAACAATGATACCATTACTTTAACTTACAAAAATGACTAAATAAGCATTGAAAAAAAGAAAAAAGATAAAAAAAAAAGTTTTCTTAATATATTCATATTATGTAAAATTTTAAAAAAATTCCTGACATTAAAATTGTTTCTATTTATCATTTTGACAAATTTCTCCAAAATATTTCAAACAAAATTTATTGTCAAACTCAAAGCTCTCAAAAATTTCAGCACAATTTCAATTAAAATCAATAACAAACAAATCAAAATCACTGCAAAAATGTCAACAGAAATAAAAATTCCTATAAAAAGTCAAATTCAAGCTAAAATTTCTGGTGAGAAATTTAAATTAGCTAAAGTTATAAAATCAAAAAAGGTTTTTTTTTTTCTTTTTCGTACCATAAATTTTATAGCAATGAAAGAAAGTATTTTAAAAAAGGAATGGTTTTCTCATTTTTCTCTTTCGTTGTTTTCTTTTTGAAAAAATTTAAGAAAAGAAAATTTTGATTCGCAATTTTAATTTCCTTTTTCCTTTGCTTTTTGTTGTAACTAAAAAAAAAAAAATTAGGAATAACTTTTAAAAAAGAGAAGAAAACATTTTAATGCACCGATGAATCATTAATATAACTGATATATCAAAGAAACAAACATCGGAAAAATTATTTTTTAAAATTAAAAAAAAAAAAAGGAAAACAATTTTGTTATACTTCGTATAAGGAATAAAAAATAATTACTATTCGTTTTTATTCACTTTTTTACTTTTTTAACAATTTTTTTTTAATTTATTGATTATTAAAAAAAATTTATCTAAAATTTGAATTAATTTTATTTCATTTCGAATATTAGTAAAATAAATGAAAGGATTTATCGAAAAAAAAAATTATATTATTTAGACAATAAAAGAACAGCACGAAAAGAAGTCACTGAAATGTTAAAAATTGGCGAAATACTTCGCGAAAGGTATATAATCGAGAAAAAATTGGGTCGCAGTAATTATAATCAAATTTATCGGTATATGCTTTTAAAATATATTTTCATATTAATTTATCTTATCAATTAAACAAATTATTTTTGTTTGATTAATAATTGATTATTCAAGTATTATCTAAGAATTATTGATAAATCAGTGATATTTATAATATTTTGTTGTGCTTTTATGCTTTAGTGTAGAATCATTTTTTCTTTTTTTTTGGAGGATTTTAATTTTTGGAATTTGGTCATATTCTTTACCATATGATAAATTTTGTTTTAAAATTAATTTTAAATTAAATTTATTGCTCTATTTTCTTGTTTATTTAACGTTTTTTTTTTGACAGATTAGTTAATATTGCATTTATTATTGTTCAAAAAAAAAAAAAAAACGAACAACAATGATAATTAATCAAATAATTAATCATAATTAAATTATATTCATGGAAGATTATGGTAATTTAAATTCATTCCAGTGCCTATGATAATGTTAAATCACGACCTGTGGCAGTAAAAATTGCAACACCTAAATTGGATCCAAGACGAATGAAAATTGAACAAATGGTTTTAACTTTATTACGCGGAAAGGTACAAAGATTTAATTTATAATAATTTGGATTAATCAATAATTTTTTTTTTTTTTTTAAATTAATGAAATCTAATGTTTAGTTTATTGAATCTTTTATCAAATCTATAATTCATTTTAAAAAAAATTTATTGCTTACAAAAATTACTTTCTTAATAATCATTTTGCATATTTGTATTTATATTTCAAAATTAGAAAAAAAAAATCAAGAAATTTGTTTTTTTTTTTTATTGCATAAATATGTTTTTATGAATTTTCAAACAGAAAATATTAAAAATTCTTTTTGGTAATATTAATGCAGCACGCATTATGCATGCTGCATTAATATTACACATTTTGTTTATATCATAAATTTGCTAAATGTTTAGAATCATTTTGTGACATTAATTAGTATGGGACAAATTCATGATGTGCCATATCTTGTTATGGACCTTGTTGGCCGTAACTTGGCTGATATACGTGGACTGTATCCACCTAAACAATTTCAACCAATTACTGTTTATCGAATATCCATGCAAGTAAGAAGTAACTTTTTTTTTTTCATTTAATAATATTTTGATGGATATTGTTTTGTAGGTTATAAGTGCATTACGCGACATGCATACTGCTTTTGCAGGTTATAAGTGCATTACGCGACATGCATACTGCTGGTTTTTTACATCGTAACATTAAACCATCAAATATTTGCATTGGTAGAGGTGCACAAAAACGAGTAATTTATCTTCTTGATCATGGTAAATTCAATTTTTTGAATTTTTTAAAGTTTTCAATTTTTTTCATTTTATTTATTTATTTATTTATTTTTTGCAATTTTGGTTAATTAATATTAAAGATATGAAAATATAAAATAATTTTGAATAAATTATAATAAAAGCATAATAATATTAGTAAAGGTATGGCACGAATGTTTACCGAAATAGACGGTAGAATTCGGAAGCCACGTGATCATGCAGGTTTTCGGGGTACGCTGCGTTACGTGTCATTAACAGTGCATTCACGTGCTGAAAGAACTCCGCGTGATGATCTAATTGCATGGTTTTATTCAATGGTATTTGTGCATTAATATTAATTTTTTTTACGAATATTAAAATTTAGATTTATTAAAATTTTACATTTTCACCTATTTTCCATCTTTTTAAATTCACATTTAATTTTTGATGTCTCTGATATTTTCATAGCTATATTTTTAATTTCTCTATACAATCATTATTCTATATATAATCTTTTATGATTATTAAATTAAGAAAAAAAATCAATTTAATAATTTGCAAATTAAACTAAAGAAAGAGAGAAGGAATAATTAAATTGAATAGAATAAAATGTAAGATAAAAAAAAGAAATTGAAATAAAATAGGCAAATAAATAAAAAAATTAATTGATTAATTAAAAATCAGATAAGCTATTTAAATTTTAAAACTAAAATTACTCAAAAACTTAATTGACAGATTGAATTAATCAATGGAAAGTTACCATGGAGCAATTTGATTGCAGCAAAAGATATCGAAGAAGCAAAAAGGAATGAAACATTTGAAAATTTATGCAAAGATCAACCAAATATATCATTGGAATTTGCTAAAGTTAAAAATTAATGATTGTTAAATGAAAATGAAAAAGCAAAAAGACTAAAATATATTTTACTTTTGTCATTTTTTTTCGAAAACTTTCCAATTTTGAAAACGAAACAAAATTTTATAAATTATGTGATATTTTATTAAACAAAAAAAAAGATTTCAAAAGCATTCATTAAATTATTAAAAGTTTCATAAAATAAAATCGATATTTATTTATAAAAACAAAATCATTTTTGTTTTTTAAAAATAAAATCAAACAAAATATTTCAATTTTTGCAAATAATTCCATTTCCTCTAGAATTTGAAACGTTTGAAATACGCAGCAAATTTTTTAATTTTTAAATCAAGACATATTGCTAATTTTTAATAATAATTTTTAGTATATATTATCATTAGATACTACTATTATACCAAATTATCAAGAATTAATTGCAATATTTAAAATGGTTAAGTTAAAAGATGATTTGCCATTCGAATGGGAAATGCATAAATCGTTTGTTTTTTAATTTGAATTGTTGTAATTGCATTTCAAATTTTAAAAATGATAGAAATAGTTCATTAAAATTTTTAAAAAAACTTAAAAGACTACAAAACTTAGAAAAGTTAGAAATATTACTTTTTCATTTAATACTATTTGCTTATAATATTTGTTAATGTAAATATAAGTTTCTACCAGTATTCCCTTTCACTTTACTTAATAAACTTTTCCATTAAATTGCATATATTTCCTTGAAAGTATTAAAAATTTTTACTGAAAAATATAAGCAATTATTCCCATTGCAAAAACGAAAAGAAAGAAATACCTTAAATTATTATTCAAAAAATTATATATTTCAATTTTTAAAAAAAAATTTTTTTGCTAAATTTTGATAAAAATAATACTAATGAAAATGATTAAAAAATTTTTTGATGATAAATATAAATGCGTTTTTTTTTTCTTAGAAATAAAATGAAGAAAATGATAAGAGAAAGTGCTAATGTCATCGATGAAAAAGTAAATTTTTTTTCTTTTCTTTTTATTTTTAATTTAAATTTGTTGAAATTTTACAACTTTCGTCTAAAATCTCTGCATTAGTTGAATTTTCGATTTTTTTAGCTCAGACAAAACTAATTTATAGTTTGATAATAAATTTAATTGCATTTAATTGTTGTCAAAACTTTAATCACTTTTAAAATTTTCTTGTTTTTTATTTATTTTCTTGTTAAAACTTTTGAAATATTTATCAATTATTGATTAATTCAAAATTAAAAAAAAATGTTTAAAAATTAATTGTTAAATTATTCATTGATTTAATTGTGCTTAGAATTTTTTTTTTGCTTATAATTGAGGAATATAATACGAGAAAACGGATAAACATATAAGCAATGACCGGATTAATTATTTGCCGGAATAAAACTTATTAATAATGTCATATGGAATATTTGTAGGCTTAGAAAGAATTATGTTAAGTTTGTTTATAATTTACTTAATGATATTTTGAGCGGAAATCTTTGAGAGATTATCGGTTCGTTAGTTTTACTTTTATTTATTGACTTAGCAGCAATCAATGTAAACTTAACTGAGCAATGTAAGTATTACTTTTTATCAAAACAGTAAATAAACAGTTAAATTATTTAAATAATAATATTTAATTAATTTATTTAATTAATGTAATTTTGCAGGTAACAATGGGACAGAAATTAACAAAAGTGAGAAACTCTAAAAAAGAGCAAAAAGTGAAAGAAAAATGACAAAAAATTAAGAAAAAAAACTTATGCATTGATAATATTAGCATATTTCTAATTTTTTTTTTCAAAAAATTTTGCTTATAAAAATTTGCATATTTATCATTTTTAAAATTGCTAACATTTTATAATAAAGTGAAAACTTTAAAAAAATTTTAGGAAAATAGTATTATAGCAAAGTAATACTAAAAAAAAATCAAATTATTTTGTTAAAATTATCAAATTTTCAGTGCTCTTTAAGTTTAATTAAATAAAAAATTTTTACTTTAAATTGCTTAAATTTTCATAATTTCCACAAAATTCTAAAATACCATTCATTGCATCTTCTTTTCACCTTTGACCCTTAATTCAATGGAACAGATGAATAGCGTGCTATTGTGCGTGCATGCATGCATGCATGTATTTCAATTATAAATTATCCTAACATACAGTTTCTCTTCATGCATATCAAATAATATGTTAGATGGAATACATTGACAATTGAGCGATAAGATTTATAACCTTCTGAAGTGACCGATGTTCCGCCATTAATTAATGATTCTTGCAATTATCCAATTTTTTTCATTAAATCAAAAATTGGCGGGTCAAAGGTCAGCTGGATACAAGAGGTATAAAAGTGAAGTTGTTGCATAATTAGTGAAAAATGAAAAAAAAGTTGAAAAAACAAAAAAAAAAAAATGAATAATGTGAACAAATTTGATATTTTCATTATCAAATTAACATTTTTTTCTTATTTTTCCTGCAAAACTAATTCATAAACGAATACTAATAAAAAAAAAAAATAAAAAATAAAAAATAAAACTCAACGAATGGTACTCTAAAAGGTCAATTAGCATAATTTCTGTTCATATAGCACACAGTTTTCTTTCATTTCTTTATCATTGCTTACATTATTGCAATTACTTTCTCACTTATTATTATCTTTAAATTTATCAAATTTAAATTGTTATTTGCATTGATAAATTCAAAAAAAAGCATCATCCCAAGTATGCTTTAAAAAATACCTCAATGAACTGAAATAATTTAAAAAATAGAAATTAAATTAAACAATTAATTTTTATTCTCTTACCTCTGATTTTTTTCTCTTTTTTTTTCTACAATTATATTCAATTACTATTATTTCGTTATTAGTACCAAAAATGATAATAATTAAATTAAAAGTTTGCAGTTTAGCTAATTGTATTATTTAAGTTATTACATATGCAACTAAATGAAAGGTTAACTTTCTCATCACTTTATATCAAGGAAATTCATTTGTTTTTAAAAAAAATTTTTTTTTTTTGTTGATCAGTGATAATATTATTTTATCAATAATAGTATTATCAAAATTATTACATTATTTATCAGAAGTAAATTACTGATAAAATAATAATGAGTATCATCTAGTTTCTTTGTAAATGAGTACCACCTAGTTTCTTTGTAAATGAGTACCATCTAGTTTCTTTGTAAATGAGTACCACCTAGTTTCTTTGTAAATGAGTACCATCTAGTTTCTTTGTAAATGAGTACCACCTAGTTTCTTTGTAAATGAGTACCATCTAGTTTCTTTGTAAATGAGTACCACCTAGTTTCTTTGTAAATGAGTACCATCTAGTTTCTTTGTAAATGAGTACCACCTAGTTTCTTTGTAAATGAGTACCATCTAGTTTCTTTGTAAATGAGTACCACCTAGTTTCTTTGTAAATGAGTACCATCTAGTTTCCTTGTAAATGAGTACCACCTAGTTTCTTTGTAAATGAGTACCATCTAGTTTCTTTGTAAATGAGTACCACCTAGTTTCTTTGTAAATGAGTACCATCTAGTTTCTTTGTAAGTGAGTACCATCTGGTTTCCTCGTAAATGAGTACCATTTAGTTTTCTTGTAAATGAGTACCATCTGGTTTTGATGCTAACGCTTTTTCTTAAATGGGTATCATTCAATTTTAGCGCTAATATCTTTTTATAATTAAATTTACTTTAATTCTGACAAGATTTATACCGCTGTCACATAGATTAATCTTCGCATAAATATTCAATTTAATGTTACCAAAACTGAAAATTACTCGATTACATATTTCTTACTTTTTGATAATATCTTAAAAGTTCTCTTTGTTTCTTCATCTATTTTTTTATAATTTTATTGTAATTATAATACAATGTTTGTTCATCAACAAATGTATATCTAAAACACTTATTTTCTAATTTATATTATGTTCTTAAATTTCACTAGCCTTAACAAATTTTGAAAGTATTTAATGAAAAACAAAAAGTTTATTATTGAATTAAAAGTTACTTATTCTTATCGTTTATTTCTACCGGTAATGCCCACTCCGAAATTGACCATTTACAAGAAACTATGATTTAAAACTGATAACCATTTAATGCAATGGCACATTTTATCTGTATGATGTCACTAGTGAGTTTTAATAAAATTAAAATTTAATTCTAATTATACTATAACAATTATGATATGGTTATTTATAAAATTGCTGCATTTAATTACTAACATATTTCATTGAGTGACTATCAAACTAGCATTTTAAATATATAAATCTTGGCTTGTTTAATTTTCAAATTTATCAATTTAATAATATTCCAAAATAAAAAAAAAGAAGCAAATACAATCCATTATTTATATTTTAAACTTTTCTATGATTGGTACAAATTCTACTCTTTTTTTAAAAAAAAGAAAAAAACGAATTTAATTTCCATTTTTTCAATCAATTTATTTTCCTGTGCAAAAATTTGCTTATTTTCATTTCATTTTTCAGTATTTCATTTTATAAAACTAGAAAAACTTTTTGTGACATATCTAAATTTTTAGAAAATTTGACAATCCTATTTTCATTTTATTTCTGTTAAATTTCTATCTGTTTGTCAAAGCGAAGAATAAATTGTCTGGTAAAATGACAAACATTTCGTTTTCGTTCCCTTTTTTTCTCAATAAACACTTTTATGAAATTTAATTAAAATATTATAATATCCATATAATTTTTTTTTTACATTTGCATAATGAAATTTATGACAAAATAATTTTTAATGTGTCATTTATTTGTCGTCAATTAAATTTTTTTTTAAAAAAAAATGAAATATGTGAGGGTAGAAAGGAAAAAAAGGGAAAAAAAAATGAAATAGAAATGAATGTAAATAAAGTAAAATAAATGAAAATTAAAAAAGAATAAAATTTATAGGAAAAAAAAAATGATAAAATGAATTTTTTCTTGCATGGCGGTATAGTCTTTGATGTAAAAGAGAACAAAAAAAGAAAATTAACTGATAAGCAATCCAAGCTAATTATACTTTCATTCATTTCT